AGCTGAGCTCCTGGCAGCAGCCTTGTGTCCTCCTCCAGGGCAAGGACAGCAGAACCCTGGGTTAGGGCAGCGAGGAAGGTAGCCTTCTGGGCCGCGCTTCACACTGGTCACTGGGCCAGGCGTTGCCCGTCACCTCGCCCTCTGCCAGGGCCCTCACTGGAGCGTTCATTGCCCTCCTCTGTCACCCCAAGGTAGGTCTGTCCCCTCTTTTCCCCAGTCACTTCAACAGGCATGGCAAACCTCTTGGGCTTGATCACAGAAGACTGAGATGGCCCACGCAGCTCGACTTTGTCAGGACCACCTTCAAGGAGCCCGGGGTAACTCTCCAGGTAGCAGGTAAAGATTCTCTTCTGATTGACATGGGGGTCAAACTTTTCCCTCTCAGATCTCTGTGATGGGTGTCGGTGTCCGACCACATCATCCACACATAGCGCGACCAATCTCTTGTTCATTTTTCAACTCCTCTTTTACCTGCTCCTTCCTTGTGCTTCCTCATGTCCTACCCCACTTCTGAGAAAAAACTTCTGTCTCTCTGTCTCACCAATTCCCAGTCCACTGCCTCCCTTTTCCTGCTGTTCTCTCACCCTTTTCTCCACCAGACTTGTTTGCCTCGTCAAATCCTTCTAGCAGTTACCCTGGATAGCCACACTTCATAACCCCTCCTCGCTGGTTTCAGTGCAACACTATCCTGTTACCACTCACATGTGGAAAACCTCCTCTTGACTCTTGACCCCTTCAGTTCTTTTCAATTTCAATCTCCAACTTTTCTCTCACAGCCAAACCTCTCTACAAGGCTACTCATGTGACCTTCACAGAGCCTTGGCCTCCTCCAAGACCCTCATCAACCCTCTCACTGCCTCAAAAGACTCCCATTTCTCTCACTCCCTAGCTCTTCCCAAACTCCAACAACCCTCCTACTATAACAGGGTGGCCCACAGAAAAAGGGGAGGTTCCAGGTTCCCTGCCCAACAAAAAGGAGGGTGAAGCTGAGGAGAGAAGAGAGGAATCTGGAGAGGAGATTGAAGCAGGGTGAGAACCAGAAGGAGACTTGAGGGAGGCACATGGAGCAGAGAGAGACATGTGAAGAAGCAGCTCTTGATTCTTGATCCTGAACTGGTTAAAAAAGATGTGGGTGAGAGATTGTGGGGAGGTTCAGTATAGCAGCGTTTATCTTGATTTTGATTTTGATCTTTTCCTCCCAGACTTGTCTAGCAATTTCTGACCCTTTTCTGTGGTCCCTGCAAAGTTGCTTTAGACTTGTGGCGGGCTTTCAGGCCTTGTTTGGGCCAATCCCTTTGGGTGGACTTTTTACACATGAGGGGATGGGTAACTCTGGGTGTTTGATTTAGAAACTAAATTCTTTATGTTTGCTGTATTGCACACGGATTGCATTAAAATTACTTTCCATTAAAGGTTTTGTATGCCTTGTCTTGATGTGGCAGATGGCAGAAGCTATTCAGAGCAGGCAGGTTTGGGGGTTCAGTGGTGCCCCTCATCCCTACCCTGAAGCACTACCTCTTCATCCATGAGCCCAGTCCTTGACCTCCTCTGTTGAAAGAGAGGTGACACACACCTTCAAGTGGCCTTTTTATCGAAACAATAGGTCACCAACCCCTTCAGGTCCAATCCTCACACTGTCTTTCCAAGACCTCCTCAGGCATCCCATTTTCTCTGCCCTTCCTGAGTTCAACTGCTCCAGACTCACCTTCTTAACCTGAGTATGACCCTACTCTGTTTATCCTGGCCTATGTTAACTAGGAAACTAGCTTCTAAGGTCTTTATCTACACCTCTCCTGAGGAAGTCACTTTCCAGAAAAACAGATGCACTCATCTTTGCCCCTTGAAAGGGATACTTTTCCTCTAGTATATGCCATGACTTTTTTAGCCAAACATTCAAGGTAAAATCTGTCATGACTCAAAACGCCAGTAAAATGAGGTGGGTAAAATGAGATGTATATAATAAAAAAGAAATGTGTTGGAAATATGTATTTTGAAGGGCTTTAAAAGAAAGATAGGAAGGAACAGCCAAAGTGTTAAAAGAAATTGTTGAGAGATTACTAAGAAGATAAAAGTGTTGAAGATCCAGACAAGTAGAAATGTCATGTGCTAGAATGACTTGCTAAGCTTATTATCAGCGCTTACTTAAAACCAACTTTAATTTCTTTTTCATCTACAGTAAGAACTGAAATATTCTTGAATTGTTTTTGACTCTGGTCAGGGACCATATGAAGACCCTTTTAACATGTTTGGAAATTT